ATTGCAGCTCCAGGGCTGCTACTCGTTAGTTTATTTTTATCCAAAGATATGTTCATCCCATGTCTTATTATATTTTACTCCCCCCTATTCTTCATAGAACTATCAATAATGGAAGCCGCCAAATGCCCCTTAAACAACTTCGAAATCTATGGAAATGTAACAAATGACAGTCGACAAAGATATTTCACCGGCCGTGTAACCGGCTTCTTCCCAGGCTCGCCTTCCATTTTACTCATCCGACAGATCAGGGGAGAGATTAACCGAGTATTAATATACTATAGCGCACTGGTCGATTATCAAAGTCTGTTTGGATTTATTTGTGTTTAAGTAGGAGGCCGGGTCCCTGCTGAGCTGGAATGTGCCAGCCGTATCAAGATGTTATGTCTTTAACACTCCTTCAAGACGCCCCGTGGAGCCATAGCCACTTACTAAACACTTATTTAAATCCCACCTGGTCTCCGCATCACTCCCTTGGATCCCACAGTTACCAACACCTGACCTAACTACATGATTACACTTTAAAGCCCGTTATTAATTTCCTTACTGCCCCATGGGATGATATGGCACCTTTCCAAAACAAGTCCATCAACAATGTAGGAGAGGACTTGATTATTCCTTAAAACCTCCTACGGTATTTGTATTTTGATTTCTGTATAACTTGATCAAACTTACCGTTTTAATGACTTATGTACATCAATTTTATAATCGTAATTTATTTAAACTTATAGTAGGATTTTTATTGTGCAAAATGTTGTGACAAACAACTAGGTAATAAGTACAATTGTACCTACAATTGAAAAGAAAGCTTGTAAAATTATTATCAAATAGTGCTTAAGGAAAATTACATATAAATTGATAAGTAAATTTTAAAAAAACGTGTAAGCTTTGTGTTAAAAATTCCCAACAATTACAAATCTGACAAACAAATAATTAGTGCTAATTTAATAATTATTGAAGCTCAATCTTCTATAAAATTAGAACAATTGAATGTTGCGCAAAGAAAAATTCAAGGAGAAGAATTAATTTCTTGGTAACAACTAAAGCTTTCTTTCGACTAAATATAACAGAAATATCTGTGAAGTGATAAGCTGTCTACTTTAAATTATCACCTATGAAAAATTTAAATTTTTTTTACTATAAATAAAACTGAAAAAGTCCATTTTTTCGCCAACTTTATTAGGCTACAAAAAATTTGACTTGCAAGTACTTTGTAATAAGTAAAGTTTTACACATAATTGAAAAGAAATCTTGTAAAATTATTATTAAATGGTACTTATGGAAAATTACCGATAAATTGATAAGTAAATTTAAAAAACGAGTAAATTTTGTGTTAAAAATTTAATACAATTACAAATCTGACAAACAAGTAATTAGTGCTAATTGAATAATTATTGAATATAAATTTTGCATAAAATTAGCACAATTGAATGTAGCGCAAAGACAAATTCAAGAAGATGAATTAATTTCATGGTAACAACTAAAGCTTTCTTGCGAGTAAATATCTACAGAGGTATCTGTGATATTAATTCACTACTTTCGTGGTCCGCTTGACCAATTAATACATGACAATTAATTAAGGTTTTTAGTTGAGATGAAAAAAAGTTAATGTGAAATGATAAGCTGTTTAATTTAAATTATCGCCTCTGAAAAATTTAAATTTCTTTTACTATTAAATAAAAATGAATAAGGCCATTTTTTCACAAACTTTATTAGGATATGTATAATTCTTTTTAGGCTAAGAAAAAAATTGATGTAAACTAATTTGTAATAAGAAAATGTTTACACATAATTGATAAGAAAGCTTGTAAAACTATTATTAAATGGTGCTTAAAGTAAATTACCGATGAATTGATAAGTAACATAAAAAACACGTGTAAATTTCGTATTAAAAAGCCAGTACTATTACCAAGCGGACAAACAAATAATTAGTGCTGATTGAATAATTATTGAAGATAAATCTTCCATAAAATTAGAATAATTGAAGGTTGCATAAAGAAAAATTCAAGTAGACGAATTAATTTCTCAGTAAGAATTAAAGCTTTCTTGCGAGTAAATATCTACAGTAATATATAATTAGGTATATCTTGATCACCTGATGATTTAAATGATCACCTATAAAATTTTTTAAAACTTTACGTTAAATAAAACTGAATAAGACCATTTTTTGCAGTAACTTTATTTAGCCAATATCAAAAAAGATAGGCATTGCAGAAAATATGTATTTTCAAAGTTTGCCATTTTTTCAGGCAAAAAAGGTGTTTCTTTTTGAGTGAGATCCTGTTTAAGGGATGCCAGCAATACAATGATTGAACAATACAATAAAATGAAGGGTTGAAGGGAAAACTTGTAAATGGGGAACATAACATTACTAAACGTGGAGATAAAAAAATAGTAAAAATAATAGTAACAACTTGGAAGAATAGATTAACTAAACGTGAAAAACTAAGAATTTTCCTTTTTAAATAGTAGGTACTAATTTTTGTTTTGTTTTTAGCCGCATATAAAAATAACAAACACGTGACTTTTTTAGATTTACTTCACATTAGATCTCATTAGAGACCAAATGGAATCATTTAAAGCCTACATACAAAAAACAATTTAACATAACTTTTAATAGTTATTCAGATATCGTGAGATGCGGTCGGGTGTGATGTAGGTTTCAGAAAAGCATTTTCTTTATCGTCCCAANGCTTTTCTGAAACCTACATCACACCCGACCGCATCTCACGATATCTGAATAACTATCGATTAACGGTCACTAATCTCTACACATAACTTTTAATTTGGTGGGTAAATACAGCAGGAAAAGATATCATTTGCAGATAGTGGTGCACAATTTTAATGATATAATTTGGAAATTTATCACTCTTTGGTGAAGATAAAAAGTAAGCTTCATCGCTTGATGAATGATCAAAAAAAATTTAATCCCATTATATTTAGTGGTCTGATTGACCAAATTACTCTTCCTTCAATTAATTAATTTTTTTATGTAAGGTTTTGGTCGAAATTAAAAAGTTAGTGTCACGAGCGGGATTTGAATTAAATCACCCTATAAACACTTAATTTTGACAGCCTTCTCTCGCTTTGTCAAAAACTGTACGAAAATAAACTAAACCAGGCAAGCGTAGCAGATAGCTTCAATAAAAGTACAAATTCTTGCAGTTTACTAACAAAATTTCATTACCTATCATTACCAGCCATTATATTTAGAGGTCTGATTGACCAAATTACTTCTTTCAATTAATTAATCTTTTTATGTAAGGTCTGATCTGAGATGAACAAGTTGCGTCACGGGCGGGATTCGAACCCACGAACTTCGGTTCAATACGCTGCTCTAACCACTTCAGGTATCGTGCCTTGGATCCATTACGACTCCAGCTCTCCATCGCAACCAACAACCATTCGAATTTTCCCTCCTTTTTGTCATTTTTCAAATGTGTTATAATCAGGATTCGGTTCTCAGCGCTAGTTCGAATCCCGCTCATGACATTAACTTTTTTATCTCAACCTAGACCTTACATAAAAAGATTAGTTAATTGAAAGAAGTAATTTGGACAATAGACCCATAAATGTAATGGACTTAATTTTTCATAGTGTTGAATGAACTATGAAAAATATTATATATATTTGAAATAGCTCTTTGTACTTCTATTTAAAATCATAATTCAACAATAAAAAGCAAATGTGCAAAATCTAATTAAATTTTGTCAAGTTGATCCGAGCATAATAATACCCAAAAATAAGTTAAATTTACAATCAATAGATTATGTGGTGGCAGTGACCTCCTTATTTTTCAATTTTTTAAATTAATTATTTTCTACATGTTACATATTGTATGTACTACATGTGTTAGTTGCATGAAATTATTAATTAAATATTAATAAACAAATTATTATTTATAATAATTATTACAAGATATGCTTCGTTTTACTTATTAAATCTATTGTATTTATTGGACTGATTGACCAAATTACTTCTTTTAATTAATTAACCTTTTTATGTAAGCTCTTGGTTGAAATGAAAAAAGTGTCACGAGGGGATTCGAACCCACGACCTTCGGCTCAATACGCCCCTGCTCTACCACTTGTGCTATCGTAACTTCGATCCATTACGTTTGATAACATGCTAGCCTTTATCACTGTAACAACTAACTTAAAACAAAATAATGTTATTTTAAGTCCAAAATTTATTTTCCCTCAAATAATGATCGGAGTAATGCGATTCCTTGAAATGAAAAATGTATATTTATTATCCCCTTGAGTGCCAGTAATGTCATTGTGCCTTAACCTCATTTTACAGTACATTACAGAACAACGAACAAAATTTAACGATTTATCTACAAATTTTTGAACATTTTTACCATGTTTTACATAATCAAATCATTTTATTGTAGTAAATGATTTCATAACATTTCTGACACAATAGAACTTGCATGTTTATGATTGATTCTATTGATTATTTACAACGAAAATTTAAAGTAATGCAAACCAAATTTCAGTGGGAGTGAAAAATTGTATGTTTATTGGCCACTCGAGCGGTGAAGTGTATTCGAAATGAATATGTGATTGTTATTATTACTGATTATTTTTGTAACCCCTAGACCATCTCAATTATCCACCGTCCGTTAGACTTGATCACTGTCATTGTTGGAGCGAGAAACGGAAAACGCCTTCGGCCACCGACTACAAGGTGTTGTTTCAAGCCAAACATAATAATAAAATAAACCGTACTCAGTGACCGGACCGGAGGATTCGAATACTTTCTACACGACTCAATAGAATTTTTGAAGCCCAACTTTCGACAGGACAGAGCACTCCAGGAAAGGCCGTACTGTCAGGACGGTACGGTCCCGGTGCGATCACCCAATAAATATCCTCAGTTTTAAATAAAAACTCAATTTAGATACAAAACTCAAGATAATCAACCTGGAAGAAAGTAAATACAGGGCGACTAGAATGAACACATCATATCCACTCGAGGTGACGAGGACATAAACCTACCTGAGATAAGAGACGGGAATCAAGAGGCTGAATTAAGGTGTTTGTATAAATCAGACGGGGGCCGCTTGTCCTCGCAGCGAGGTGCCTCACACAAATAAATTAATAAATAATAACACACGTTGAGGAGGAGAAAAAATATAAAAGAAAAAAGGAAAAGAAAAGTGTGAGAAGGTGTGGTGGGAGGGAGTGGGTGTTGTAGTCCGAGAGAATAAATAAAGACGTTATACCGAAGACTAAACGTTCGGACAATAAAGTTAAACGGCCGGTTGTTCAATCCTTGTTTATTTATGGGACTGGGACACAGTCACACCTTTCCATCCACTGAGGTACAGAACTCTCTACTTCATTAACCATCGCCTCCCTTACGACACGTGAACATTCAAATGACTGATTATAGTAACGTCGAGATAAAAGTCGACCTTTTCAGACATAAAATCGTTTCAGGTTCCATACAAAAGACACATAATACCCATGTAGGATTTTACGTGAATAAGCTACTCGTAAAACTACAATTTTTAAACTTAGAGGTTTATGTTAACAGCCAAGCAATTTCTAAGTCATAAGAAGTATAGAATACTTCATTTATCACCACACAGCAAGTACAAACGTCATGAAAATTTCGTAGAAACAAAGAAATTAGGCCGAATTTTATTTCGACATAGAATAATTAAAACAGAGTAAATACCTAGGTTTAATTATCGATAAACTATTTGAATGCCATTTATTCCTGGTGAAAGTTATTATCAATATAAGAAAATATTACAATCAATTAAGGTTTTTAGTTGAGATAAAAAAGTCAATGGCACGAGCGGGATTCGAACCCACGATCTTCGGCTAGATACGCNCTCTCTCTCTCTCTCTCTCTCTCTCTCTCTCTCTCTCTCTCTCTCTCTCTCTCTCTCAGGCCTTTAAATATATTTTACGATTGTTTAGCAGCGAAAAAAAATGTTTTACGGTGGGCATAGTAAAGAATTTGAAGAATCCTATTTTCTTGTTTACTTGTTACTTGGCGCTTTTTGCTGTTGAGTGTGCAAATGTACAATCGAAAGTGATGCACCAACGGGAAAAAGCGATTGCTATTTTTTCTTCTTTTAATTGTGGAAACACAAAATGTAGCTTCCATCCCTCTACCTCTATCTTTCTATCTCTATCTCCTGCCCTTTCTATCCCTCAAACACTCTCTCTCTCTCTCTCTCTCTCTCTCTCTCTCTCACTCTCTCTCTCTCTCTCTCTCTTGTTCTATGTTCTTTCATCACAAAGAGTATCTCTGCCGATTACCACGGGGGCGGAGGCCACCTAAAATTATTTGATATATTTTGTTTATTTCTGATTCCTTATACTAGGTAATTAGTAATTATTCTTAATTAACTTATTTTTTATTTTTAAGATTCCATAGACGGAGACCATTAAAAATTCTGTTTTATAAAAATATTTTTATCGTCAATCCATCGTTGTCAAGGATCGATTTTTAAATNTTCCTATTTTTTTTTATTTTTACCGATAGTTCGCAACAGCAGAGGTCCTCGGTGTCGGTGCTTTTGGAAAAGCAGTTGTGTAAGTATCTCGGGTTCGAATGCTGGGCCGCTGGATTCGAACCCGGGACCTTTACCTTACAGTAATGAGCGCTGTGACAACGCCTTAACCATTACGGCCACCGACACCCCTCAAAGCATTGTATTATAATTATTACTAGAGGGCAAATATTAATGTTCTTTATTTACTTATTTATTCAATATATATTCTATATTTATTCATTAAAAAACACCTGGCCACAAGGAAAGTATGAAGAGGAAAATTCATCTTAGCAACATTGACACGCTTGAGAAATTTGTGTATAATCGAAAAAAAATTTAAGTTTCGAGCATGTTATTTTCTACGATGAGGACCTACGAATTTAAAGTTGACGTTTAATATAAGGTTGCTAATTTCGAAATCCAGTAGGAAGCATGTGGCTGCATTTATAAATTTTGTAAGGATTATAATATAAACATAAAAGCACATTGTATTACCTGGCTCAATATTTATTTAAGTATTTATTAATTTATACATTTATTTCGAATTATCATTGATAATAGCACGTAAGAGCCAACATAGTCCTCAATTTTTAGCCTACTGAAACTCACAGATGGGATCATCTAATTTTTTTTTGTCTAACTTGCTTTTCCAATGGAAGAGGTTAATTAAATCCAATAAATAGAAAACAGAAAAGGAAATTTTTAAGGGCTTTTATTATAATTAAAGATAATTATGTATCATTTAGGCTACTGCTGTATTTAATTTTTTTTAAATATAAGATTTATTGGTTATTCATTACATTTTACGATGTTTTAAATTCTACAATATGTTGACATGTTTATTTTTTGCTTTATTTTTAATTCATTACATCTTCATTTACATCATCTAGTTTGGTCCGTGCAACAGGCATATGCTAGTTCCTTGCATGGCATTGTGTGTCTAATGTGTATAATATGTATAAATATTTTTATTAGTTATTGTATTTGTATTAATTAGGGATATTCTTACGTGTTTTAGGTATTTTTATGTTAGAAAAGCGTTTTAAACTTAGGATAACTTAATGGAAGTAGGGTAATCAGTACATTTATCATAATTAAGTCGAACGATGTAAGAAATTATATATTTGGCAAGGTTGTTACAACTGTTATTATAAGTATATTAAGTCCAACGCAACCTGTCGCATTCCAAATTACAAAAACGTGTAATTGGAGTAATTGGAACGTTTATTGATTCCGACGCGTGACCAATTACCAAAAACCAATCCGGAAACCATTCTTCAATTATAAAAGACCGGAATGGGGAAAGGTGGTGAAACACCGCGGAACCGTAATAAAAACTGAAGGGAGAACCAAAAAAAAAAAATCAAACCGACCTCTTTGTACACAGAATATCCATCCGGGTCCAATTTCCCCCCTTGCTATTTTGACTGGCGAATTGGAAAAATGTGCCGGCCCGGATTAATCCAGTTTCGTTGTTAGGTACATTTTCGCACAAGTTTAAAAAATATGTCTCCTCAGACGGATTTGTTTTGGCAATGTGATTTTTTCCATCCCCCTTCTCTAAGCCTTTCGCAATCAACAGTTTTTAAAGCATATATGCCATTCCGTAATGCATATATTCAATCCACACTTACGTACTGGGCTTATATCCCGCTGTTTGCTAATCCCTCAAAAAAATATTTGCCTCTTTGGTTATTTTTTTAAATGGAAACAGAGCTTTCGACATTTTGTTGTTAAATCAAACACTTGTCACCATTTCGTATAAATGTTTTTCGTTGCTAATCTTTCTCATAAGTAATTAGATACTTGTTAATCTTGTTTTTAATGTAAAAACGTTCAACCGCAACAATTTTTAATTTGTGGAAAAAGGGACTAATTATCAGTAAATAAAAATTGATTTGTAAAATTCAAATATTTACAATGATCATAATTTTTTTTAAAATTATTTTATTTGTACCCAATACATATAAGTACATTTCACACAAAACGTTTTTCACACGGTCACAGCAATTACACTTATGTCAGCGCTGCATCTGGAGGACACATGCCATGAGAAACCAGCCACTGCTGGCATTCAATATGAGGGATTGAGTGGGAAGGTCTTGAGGCCATCGTCAATTTAGGCGACGTGGTGGGTACTTGAGATGAGAATGTGTAGTGAGGGCTTGTGCAGTAGGGTTAGGGTAGATGAGAGGTTAGTGTGAAGTTTTTGGAATCGGGAACGGATCAGTTCGTTGACAAAAGGAACGTTGAGTAGTTAGTTAGAGTAGTAGTTGAAGAAAATGAGGTTAGTGACGTAGTAACTAGCTTTGTCGTCTGAGCGCTGTTGATTGAAAGATTGGATGTGCCAGATGTCAGATGACTTGGCAGAACAGTTCCAGTGCCCAAAGTGTTCGCAGTGAAGTCTATAAGGTTAGACTGGCAAACTCACCGCTGCAGTTGGACAGGGCCAGACTCAGAGGAGTGATAGGACTATTAACCCGTCACTAGCATCTGAGAAAACATCTGCATAATATGGGCATATATAATGATCCCATTTGCACATTATGTCATGAGGAGAAAGAATCAGCCACCCATACCAATATCATCTTCGAATGCGAAGCGACATCTTGAGACATAACCTAGCGTACAGAAAAAAACTGGGTGATAAAAGGGAATGAAATTGTAGCAGCAACAGTCAATGACGTAATACTTCTAAGAAGAAAGATTGGGTCCATTGCACTGAACTAGGGAACTAAAAAGTTAAAATAAGCCAGAAGGCTGCAGTGCCTGGGGACCATAAACCCCGCTTCCTAGTTTCATTACCATGTGTTTGGCATGCGGAGAATCAGTCCCACCTAATTGAAGGATGCAATTCCTTGGCTCCATATTCCTAGTATCCTCATCATCATCATCATCATTTATAGTTTAGTGTAAAGTTGACGAGCAAGATGGATTTTGATTCTAGAAGTTTTCCCAGTTGACCCAAGTCTTATGTTAAATTGTAACTTCTTAAGGATTGTGTGAGGATTCTACGTCAGTCTGCTGTCCAGGTCGTTTGTGTTTGACTAGAATGAAAATAGTTATCTCCTTGTTGTTGATGTACAGTGGAGAGCAAGGATTTTTTTCAATGTGAACTAGTGAGTACATTTTTCTTCTTTCAGCCTTGTCTTTTTTCCACCAGTCTCGACAGGCTCAAGGTGTTCTTGGAGGAGCTACCCCAAAAGTAGCTTGTAGAGGATTCGAGTTAGATGAAAATATTGCGATATCGTCCGTGTATGTGGTATTGAGTTGTGTAGGTAGGTCAGTAGTAGAGGATATATATATAAGGGATTGGACCTCCCTTGTGGGACGCCTGCTTGTTTCTATCAGACTTCCAAAAACCTGTTGCCGCATCTCACTGCAGCAGCGGTAGGTAAGATAGGATTTCATAATTACAGAACAGATCAGAAATTTTATTTACAACTTTATACATTGTGTAATGATAAGTAAACCACTTTTGTATTTCACATTATTTTCTATGAGGAAAAATATTAGATTAAAAACCCCAGCTGTCAGGCCAACTTATAGGAGAGCGTGTTTTATTCCC